CGGCTTGGCTTGGCCTATCCAAGAAGAGCATCACCTGCACGTTAGTGTCTTAGTGATATACCACGATTGTACATCAGTGTCAGCATTGACAATATTCTAAAGAAAAGGTCCACGAAGATATAAGTGCTTGACTATCCACCAGAGGAAGACACTGAAACTTGGTGGAAACAAGGGTACTACAAAGTTCAAGTTCGCCCATACATACATGTGGCTGTACGAAATAAAGTTAAGCAAGATGTCAAAATGAACCAGTCCTTCGTTTATGTTGAAGTCCGAATTCGAAAGGCAAACACAGAATAAATACGTTACAACAAGAGATGAAGAAATACACAATAAAGATTTAAGGAACATACAGAAGTACGTCGAAGACAACCCAGGATTAACCATGGAAGAGGCCGCGACCATATATTATGATGTACAAGGGACGACAACACTAGCAATGAAGTATGTAAGGGGCAATTTTTTGGTTCCCGATCATGAGTTTAAAAATCTGACAACATATATGCGCCATTTAGATGAATATTACATGGCTCAAGCAACAGAGACGGACAGCTTTGGTTTTGAGGTTATTTTCCGTTCGCCACATGTTTTCAATTATCCTGAAGAAGAGAAGTTCGATGTCGAGTGGGAGTGCTTGTTCCAGCTATACCAGAAACGCGATCTCGATGTTCAACTGTTGACGCTGTGGACTATGTAAGTACCCTACACGCATGATATTACAATTAACTACTCTCTCGAGACACAAATTGTTAACTTTTGAGCACTTCCTATGATTTTATGTAGGTGTATAGCAAAATTTTGCATTCTAAAAAGCAAATGGGATTACATAGGCTTCTTGGACCCCATGCGAGTCAATGAGAGGACATGTCTAGGCCTCTATGGATGTGATGTGGAAGACTTGAAACAGAGATTGATTGCTGTTTTTGACGAATTCACGATGAAAAAGAAAACCCACATACTTCTAGCCTACAACTGCGAGTATATGTTCTCGGCTTTTAATTTTATGCTTCTTTTTTCGTTAAGATTATTCAATAATTAGGATTCTGTAATTGCAGCAACCATTTCGTCTTCATTTGTGTTAATCTTGCCAAAAATCTGCTCAAGGTGTGGGACTCGAAGAAAAAATCATTTCATCATCTGGATGCACTGGTGTCAGTGCTGAATTAGTAAGCGATCCTAATAACATATTATTTTATAATCACACATACCCGCTTTCTAATGTTTCTCCTTTTAATGTTGCTCAGTGTCCGAAGAAGTCATATCGGTGGGAAGCCGGTCCCATTCAAGGTTGTCAAAATATAGGGGAAGTACCTATCACAGCCGGCGGGAAACAATGAATGCGGGTTTTATGTAATGTGGGCAATGCTTCGCTACATCGGCGGGAAATCGGAAGAAGCCGATAAGTTGGTGTGTATAATCTCCATTTCATTTATGTCTGTTAATAATTCAACAAAATGATTTATTGTTCCTCTTTGGATATCATCTTTTTTGAACGACAGCGCAAAAAATTTAAGCACGAAAGGCTGCTAGAGATGGAGATCGTCGCACTACAATCGGAGCTGGCAAAATTCATCTTAGCCGAGGTATTGGAAAAAGATGGAGTATTTTCCATTGCACAATCCGTGAAGTACATGGACCAGTATGGCCCAGAGCGGCTCGCCAGATTATTGTAAGAAGTCCGAGAACATTTCTTTTTTATTTTGAGGGATCGAGATCTGGATAAGAACATTTAAATTGTAACCGTAACATTTGTAATGTTTAATATTGATGGACCTATCGTCTACGTAACGTATATAAAGCGAAACCTGATCCCACGAAAAAATATAAAATAAAATAAATTATAAAACAATAAAATACAAACGGGCCATCACCGTCGGTTAGCAACAAACTGGCAGTGTTGTCGTAACCATCACTGCCGGTTAGAAACAAACCGACAGTGTTGGCTTGCTCAACACTACCGGCTTGAACCATGAACCGACACTGATGATTAGGACAACATTGCCGGTTTGATCCATGAACCGACAATGTAGGCTTCCTCAACACTGCTGGCTTAAACCCAGAACCGACACTGATATTTACTACAACACTGCCGGTTTGATCCACGAACCGACATTAATATTTACAACAACACTGCCAGTTTGATCCACCAACCGACACTGATATTTATAACAACACTGCCGGTTTGATCCATGAACCGACAGTGTAGGCTTGCTCAACACTGCTGGCTTGAGCTAAGAACCGACACTCTTGAAGCAACCGTCACTGTCGGTTGGAACTACAAACCGGTAGTGTTGTTCAACTGGACACTGCCAGGTGGAGCCAGGAACCGACACTATTTTCTGTAGATCAGTGTCGGTTTTTAAGGACCGGCAGTGATGTCAACCCCACATCATTGCCGTTATGCCACTGTCGGTTCAAAATCCGGCAGTGAAGTGGGTTTTTGAACCGGCAGTGATGTCCAGATCTGGGGTAGTGTATCTCCACCAAGAACCCTCACAACAATCCTGCCAAGGTAGCTCACACTGCATGGGGTAACCCCAATCATCCCCGTCGGGGAAAAACAGTTTTCATGACAATATTTAACATCAAGAAACCAACATGGCTTATTACGAAGGCATCCAACGCACACAACACACTGCATGAAGATAATGATGATAAGGAAGTTTGAAAAGGGAGTAGAGTTTGGGCAAACCATCAAAATAGTTGGTGTTTGGCATTTGGGTTACAGAGAGGGAGAAGGTTGATAACTTGATATTGAAAAGGAAGAAGAGATTTTTGTGGGTATTTATATGTAGGCTGATGTGAGTTGTAGGGTAGGTTTTGGTGTAAAATATATTTGGAGGGAAAGTAGGAGTGTCACGACTTGTCTCCGTTCGCTAACAATTACATCCTTTTCTTCAGGTCTTGTCAACTGTGATTTTCCTTTAGTATTGCTTCTCCATCTTTATGTAATTGTGCTGTAAGGTTCCTTCGGCCACATCGTCCTGGTCCTCTCAATATATTCTATAATATGCTGTGTCTAGCATTGACAAGTGGAGGTCCGGTGGTAGGGTGTGTGGAATTAGTGTGGAAAAATGCGAGACTTGCCATATGTGACTGACTGAGTGGTGGCTTGCAAAATAATTTTTTCTATTTCTTGGCACAGTTCAATATTTTTTTTGTGATTTTGAAAATCAAATTGTGGAGGAGGATGGATATCCAATTTCAGAGAAGGTTGACTTGGTAAAACCGTCCCATAGATTTATTTTCAGGTTTAAAAACCATTACCGTAAATATCTCATGTTTGTAATTGATGGCGTATTAAAAACTATTCTTGAAATTAATTTTGACGGTGTAAAAAAATCTTTTGCGCTGTACTGTAAGATGCATGCACCCCGTGCAATCCAAGTCATGGAGGTAGAACATACCAATTGGGAGAAGCGCACAGCGCTACAGCATCGCAGATACGACAACTTCGCATGCACACACCGAGTTAGCTTAATTTACCCCTGATCTGGGCAAATTTCTCGGTTGATGCCGATGTGCTGAATCATATCCGCAAGGCGTACAGGGCAGTTGCAGTGGACCTGCGATCTTCAACTTGCCAACCAACAGCCTTGAAAAGTCAAATGATAAGGACTGGTGTGCTAGCTGCATTTCGTTTTGCATAACTAAAAATGAAATAAAAAAGGATAGATGGATGCATCTGTCGCCAAGAGACTACTTAAAAAGTTCTGATCCGTACGTATGTGACAACAACATCTCTAACTTCGAGGTCACGTGCGTGGTGCATAGGGGTTGAAATAAAAGAAGCCCAGCCTCAGCCATATCTCTCCAACTCCCAACTGATATCAGCATCGTAGACTCGAAAAATTGTGTCTCCTTTTCCTACCCTTCCATCCGCAGGTTAGTCGATCCAACTGCAGCTCTTGCTTATTATTACAATTAATTTTCCTATGCATTTTGAAAAAGATTATGTGACCTTGCTTGCTTCTTTAATTCATCTGCAAGTTTTTTTTTTTGACTTAGTTTTCTGTTGGTCTATCTTACTTCTGTGTTGTAATCATATCCCCTCTCTCGTGATCTCTATCTCTTTTACGATCTCCTGTCCCTGCTAGCTAGCTAGAACGACAATTCAAGAAACTAAGACAGGCTTCTTTTGTCTAGCCAATCTACAAAACGTGGGCAAGCTTTTGCTCCGATATGATATGGGAGTATCAAATTAAACTGAGTCACCTTATTTGTTCCGAAAAGGAAGATGATGAAGATAAGGTGCATAGCTGCGCACCTTCTTGAATAATTCTGGTGCCCTCCACACCGTCCCCCCTCTTCTCGGCTATCTCCTCCTCTGGTCTCACTCAACCATGCAACTTGTAGATCATCAAAACAGCAGCGACAGATGAACCATGACTTCTCTCTCTCCACTACATTCTATTTAGATAACAAAAGTAGTTTTGACATCATCACTGACCAAATCTAAAAATGAAACGCCATCTATTGGCCGCCAAGGAAGTCCTACAAGACCTATACAAGAGTTTTGGCTTCATTTCTTAAAAAACAACAACATCATTTCTTGATAGGATAATGCCCACAAACAGTGTCCGCCCCAATCAATAGCTTGCATAACCAATCAGCATATGCTAATTTTCCATGTTTTAGAATCTGTGTTGCAAGCATGCATATAGTCCCATGTATCTTTCTAGGTTGTTCCATATTTATTTTTGTTGCACCTGTACTTGATGAATGTTGTACTGATCTAACATCATTTCTAGAAATTAAATTTCATAAGAGGGTGCCCTTCATAAGAGAATTGTTTCTCTAAGAAGAAAATTTGTCAAGAGAATGCTTTCTTGGTCATCTTTTCTATGGTTCTTGAGTTCATAAAATTGATTGACTTTGATACACTAGTCTTTGTATGTGACAATAATATAGAGGGACAAATAATCTTTCATTATATTCCTTGTCTAATAAAAGAAACATAAATATTTGATCTTGTTCTTGAATGGTACCATAGATAAGGAATGGATACTCAAGCTAATGAGCCCAGTACTCTACAAGACTTGCTATTGGACGATATCATAGGAGATCCAATTAGCCTTAAGCTATCCGTATTGGAAACCATCACAAAAAACTTTTCTGAGGAGCAGATTATTGGAAGTGGTGCATATGGGAAAGTTTACAAGGTATGCAAAATATTATTCTAAAAAAAGGTATGTAAAATATCTATTACTATATATAATTCTTGACTTTGTAAGTGTGTTGAAGCATCTCAAAACTTATCATATCTAGTTTAACTAATTAATGAACAAGTCCATGTTACTCATTTCAAGAACGAATCCAATCCATGAATCTAATAATAAATATTTTTAATTTTTATTTGAGTTATTCAAGACAATTTTTCATAGGTAAATATGGTAGTTGTAGCCTATAAGCTACGTCCAGCAGCCCTTTTCGAGTTTATTCTTGTAGATGGGACTGATTTGACTATCTACTTCATAAAATAAAAATGCTTAGCATTTTAACTTTCAAATATATGTTTAAAATTCACCAAATTTATATCATTCTTAAATTTTTTTAAAGACAAACCTACAATTGTCATGACATTTATGTTCCCAAACTATATGTTTTGAGAGTTTTGGATGGTCAAAGTTTTCACAAGTTTGACCAGATCATGTACAAAATGTCAAGTAGTTATAACTTGAATGAGTACATCACCACTGGGCCTTTTCTATGTTAGGTATTGGCAACTGTGCTTAAATATTTGAATTCTAAATTCAGCTCTAGTTTATTTAAAGCCAATATAATCTATTCTTACAGGGAAACCACCAAATTAAATGACCAATTCTTTCAGCATTCATAGCTAGATTATTTCTCTTTTCTAGCCATGGTACGTACGTTTTGTACTATGATTTAGACAGATGGCCGTGGAATTATTACTACATAATAATTTGGTAGGGTGGTTGAACATACACAGGGAGTGCTTGGAGATGGTTTTGTTGCAGTCAAGAAGTTATACTCACATCATGTAATCGAGGACACACCATTTCAACGCGAGGTTGATTGTCTGATGAGGATTAGACACCACAATATAGTCTGGTTTGTTGGATACTGTGCTGAAACACGTGTGGAGGTGGTGCGGCAAGGAGCGAAAAATATTTTTGCTGAAGCAAAAGAAAAGTTGCTTTGCTTCGAGTATTTGCATAATGGAAGCCTTCGCAGCTATGTCACTGGTATGATTGTGGAACGATAAACATATATGTGATCTACATGCTTGGAATGGATTTTTTTTCCTAAGTACTCCATCCAATCCAAAATACTTGGCGCACTTTTGATTTATCATGGTCCAAAACATATTTAGGCATTACTTTCTACTGGAATAAGTTTTATTATTTACTATGTTTATGAGATTCCGTATGTACTTTTAAACACAAATATACACGTATCATATTATGATTTAAATGCTTTTTAGACTAGATATCTTAAAACATTTTGGTGGTCAAAGTCACAAGTCTCTGACTAGATTTTGTGCAAAATGTATTTTGCCATGAGCTGTACCAAAACCATAAGTACATATTCACAAAAAAAAACCATACGTATATATATTGGTAAGTAGGGCATATTCAAGAGCTATTATTCCCTAAAACTCTACAAATAAAATGGAAAAAAGTCTTCTACCACACCAAACAACGTGGTTCATTCTATTCAATGAAATTATTTGACTAATCGGTTTTGCCTACACCAGTGCACAAATATGTGACTTTTGCACACTAGATCGACATTGGAGCTGGAAAACACTGTAGGGATTCCATGCATATAATGCATTATATGCTTAAACATTGCTGATGCAATATTCTACTCCATCCATTCCAAACTATAATACGTTCTGGCTTTTCTAGATACATTGCTATAAATATGTATAGACATAGTGTATATCTCAATGCATAGCAAAAACTATGTATCTAAAAAAGCCAAAATGTCTTATAATTTGTAATAGAGGGAATATTTCTTATTAATGTGTTTCTATTGAATTTATTTAAATACACTTTTTGGATTTGTAATCTTAAGATGTTTCAGAAATTCATGCAATAATCTGTCAAATTTTAACAAAGAATTCACAGGTATGAAGATTAGAGCATTAATCATATCATTGTGCAAAATTGGAAGAAAAGATATTTTGTACATTGAAGAAAAACAAATGCATAATGGCCTTCTCCTTTTCTCCAGTGTCCTGATTGTAATTCATGTGTTCCATGTAAAATCGTTTACTCCAGTGTGTAGTAAATAAAAACCTCTACGTGGTATGCTGGAGACAAATTTCCAGAAATAAGTTGAGTTGCGCTCTCATCATTGGAATAGCATACAAATATATGGTACCAATCTAGCGAGCCACCTTCTGGCTACCATTATTTATATATAGAGTTAAGTCCTTATAATGTGCATGTAGACAAATTATATTGAATTTGTATTGCACATGTTGTGCTAAATAACAAGGTTGTGGCAATGAGACAAGTTTGGTACATTACTGTGAAGTTTCCAATATAAAAAAATTTATGTACTTCATTTATTGATGATCTGAGGATTTGTCATTCCTTTACTGTCGTTGATGTAATTGAGTGATATTCATTTTTACTTATACAGATGAACCTTGTGGGCTCCAGTGGCAAGTTTGTTACAAAATAATAAAAGGAATTTGTCTGGGTTTGCAATATCTGCATGAGATGAACATAATTCATCTAGATCTGAAACCAGATAATATATTGCTTGATGATGACATGATGCCAAAAATTGCGGATTTTGGTTTGTCAAGGCTCTTGGATGAAGGAAAAAGCCGAACAATCACTCAAGAAATACTCGGAACACGGTGAGCCAGGCACATAATTTCCCTAAGAGATTCACATTTAATCAGAGATACTATCTGTCCATTTGTTTCTTTCTCTCTGGTGTCATCTCTGTTTTGGGCCCCTGTCATGACTTTGTTGGTGTTCATCCATGCAGGGGATACATAGCACCTGAGTACTTAGACAATGGAGTGATCACAGTCAAGGCAGACATATACAGCTTGGGTGTGATGATCAGACATATGGTGATGGGACGTAATAATCAGGGAGCTACGACTGACGATGTATATTGATGGAGAAATATATATACTACTCCGTCTATTCTAAATTATAAGCTATTGTGGCTTTTTTTGACACATAGTTTTTACTATGTATCTTGACATAATATATATATAGGTGCATAGAAAAATCTATATATCTAGAAAAGCCAAAAATATTTGTAACTTGGAATGGGGGAGTACTAATTAACCACCCCTTTACACACACACATAGTTTTGACACCATTGTAATATTGTTTTCAACGTTTTCCTAATGATACATATATGTTGCTAACCAGGTACTGAAAAGCTGGGCAATTAGGATGGAACAGGAACCATCAGAGATGAGGCGGACGCCATTGGAAATAGACTACTACCGGCAAATAGAAGCGTGCATGGAGATATCAGAGAGCTGCATAAAGTTTGAACCAGATAATAGACCGCCAACCATTGCGGATATCCTCCGTCGGCTTGTGAAAACAGAGGCAAAGGACCAGTCTGTCGTGACAGGTACTCCAGCGCTAGGACGGGTACGTACCTGCAATTATATGTATGCATCCTTTCGATCAGTTCACTAAAACACTTGATTTGCGTGAGCCCATTGTCAGTGTTTCTAATGAACTGCGTTCACCAATCAATACATCCAAAAGCTTGAATGACGTGATGAATAAAAGGGAGTGCGTGGACTAAAAGTTACACTACTGATCTTTAGTGTGGCCAAAGAACATTGTTTCCTTGTGTGCCAGTAGATTCAAAATAGAGGTTTCTATGACCACAATGACCACACACAGGATTGAAGTACCCAATGTTAGAACTAACTTGGGCGCAAAGTGTGAAACAAATCTGTTCTTAGCCTAGAACATGATCGCTAACATCAATTGAAAGTGAAAACTGAGTAGATGAACATAGCAGAGCTATGTGATGCAATGTATGCCTCTGTGATGGCGTACATGTACGAACCTTCACCAATCTAAGTAGAATCGCGCTTTCAATCCCACCATATCCTGGACTGACCGGTTGTACATATGTTAGATTAAAGTACTAGTCGGATTTAGGGGCTAAACCCCCTACCTCTTATCTATAGGCTTTGTGGGACTAGAGAGGATTCCTCAATGACTTAGGGCTCCTTCGGTTGCTAGGGGCAGAAAAATGCATGTGGGTTTCTATGCCAAAAGGATTGGCCCCAACGCACATGACCACCCCCACACTTCCTTCCAGGTGATAGAAACCCTGTTGGGGACAAATTCACAAGGACTGCTCGGAAGGCACAGGGTTGCTGCTGATCACATTAAACTAGGTTAAACAGATTGAGCAGTCATAGGTTAATCTAAATAAACTCATGTGCCTATGTCATTGGACTCAGTTGTTGGCTGTGGCTGAGGTCATATTCCAACACCCAAATCCTTCTTTAGTGCTTTAGTGGAGAACCAAACATTGTGGTTATATATGTTGAAACGATTTTGTGTTCCTTTTGTTGCAGATAAGCTCCCTCGCCAAATTGATGGAGGGCCTGCGGTTGATGGCATCCCAACATCCATCCTCTGGCGGCGATGGGAGTACTAAGGCGTTGGTATCCGGGCCACCTCTGCTGGCATCGCCCAACAGATCAGGGGACCCAAGCCCTGACCTTGATAAGGTAGATTAACTTTTTTCCCTGTTTCTAGATGCTTAATAATGAATGTCACAGCCATCACCGATAGAACACGTAATTAATTAACTGCCAGAATTTATCTTGTTTTACGAATGCAGATTTCTTGGTTGGATAGAAAAAAGAGTGCCAAGTGCTACATGCTATCATCGAGATCATTACATATTGAACATGTAGATATAGGCGGCTACTGGAAGTGGATCAACCGCTCGGATTCCAGGTTTCATTTGCATTGCACACCTATATATAACAATGACGTGCCAACAGTAGAGGTAAAGTTAAATGTAAGAGACCATATACATGCATGCGAACTAACATACTGCATTTTGATCTGTTTCTCTGTTGACGAAAAAAGATTTGCTGAGTGTGCCGAGCTCATAAAGGTCTACTTCTTGGCGGTGATTGGGGAGATTTTAACCACGGAACTGTCCCCGGGCACGACCTACGCGGTCTACCTCGTGTACAAGCTGGCCAGCGACGCTGCTGGCCTGAACGGCGTCCAGACGTCGTCGGTCAGGCTCTACGGCGAGAGAACTGTCACCACCAGCAGCGTCAGTGTGGATCCTGCGGCGCGTACCGCCGCCGCCGGCATGGTTCGGCCTGTGGCCAGACAGGACGGCTGGATGGAGCTGAAGCTGGCCGAGTTGGCCCCTGATGACAAGCTGCTGCTCAACGAGAAGGCCGTCATAGTGGACTTCCGCGAGGAGAACATTCGCGTGCTGAAGAGGGGACTCATTGTCGAAGGTATGGAGTTCAGGCCCAGGGATTGAAGCTCCCGCCGCCCACTGTGTGTCAAACTGTGATTGGACATTAGACTTCGCGAGATCGAACACATTTTGTCCATGTTATTAAGGTGGATGCATGACTGCTAATATAATAATGTGGCCTCCTATTAAGGTGGATGTAAGTCTGCAATAATATACTAGCGTGATGATATATTTGGGCAATAATATATGTAACTCCTATTACCGTACTGTCATTTGAGACTTATTTGGATAACTACATTATGTTAAGTGTTGCTTGCATGTTTGTTTTCATGTGTAGGTGCTGGTTTGTGATAATCTTCAACTATAAGAGGCCTTTCATATTGTGGGCAAAGGCCACCATAAGGGCTGTTGGGCTACCCAAGCTCCTTCTCTTTAGTGGGCTTGTCCTTGTTCTTCTTTAGGGATACTGAGCTAGGTTTCCGGATGAGAAGGGGTATGGTGTTCACTGACAAACTTCAGCAATTTCTTCTCTATAAAACTAAAAAGCAGGTAGCGCTTTCTCATCCGAACCTTGGTTTTGCCATGCTCCCTGAGTAGATGTGGGCACCCAATTACACCAAACTGATCCGTTCTATTCTACGATTTTTCCTTTAATTCGATCATCTGAAATATGAACCGATCAGTTACAAAAAATTATCAAAACAGAGCAAATTATCAAAACTGACCAATTCCAGCCCAGTTTCACATAAGCAAGAATCACGGAAACAGTTTTTTTTTTTTTTTTTAGGGTGCATGCCATCCTGCTGTGCACCCTCAGATGTAAACTGAGATGAGTGCACAGCTGGAGGGCATGCGCCTAAAGGCAAAGTTTACTTTCCCCAAGAATCACATTCTTACATCATGGTTAATTCAATTCATGACCAAAATCATCACCACACATCATACAAATCTGACAAAAATCAGTAGAGCAGCCAAATAAATAAATCATAGCATTAGATATATGATACAAATAGAACAACAAAAACGGATCTAATGTTCACAGCAGAAAGGGGATCGGTTTCTGGCAGCCCAGCACCCCATGTATGACGGCATCTAACGATGCCGTGGGGATCCCCGTGGGTCACCTATGTCCATACGGACCATACCTGCTAATTACCCATAACCAATTATTATGTATCTAGAATTAAAAAGAGTAGTACTAGCTCAATAGGTATAGATAACCCAATGTGTAAAAGAGCTTTGATCACTACTGGAGGCTGCGGCTTTGCCGAGTGTTTTTACACTCGGCAAAGAGCCCTTTACACTCGGCAAAGTCCGCTCGGCAAAATTTTTCTCGGCAAAGGGTCTTTGCCGAGTGTTTTTTATCGGGGCACTCGGCAAAATAAAAAACAATTTTGACGAGTGCTTGGGGCGGCACTTGGCAAAATATTTTCGGCCGTTATTTTGCTGAGTGCCCGACCCAGCACTCGGTAAAAAAAAATTATTCTTTTTAAAATTACTTTGCTGAGTGCCCCAGCCCAGGCACTCGGCAAAGTTTTTTTTAAAAAGTATTTTGCCGAGTGCCCCTGCCCAGGCACTCGGCAAAGTTTTTTTATTTTTTAAAAAAAATTATTTTGCCGAGTGCCCCGCCTGTGCACTCAAAGAAAGTTTTTTTATTTTTTAAATAATTTCTTTGCCGAAAGTGTCCTGTTTAGACACTCGGCAAAGAATTTCTAGATTTTAAAAAAAAAATATTTTGCCGAGTGCATGGCAAGGCACTCTAACAAAGAATTTTTTTTTTGAAAAATTTTGCCGAAAGTGCCTTGCCCATGGCAAATGGCAAAGACCCCTTAGAATTGCAATTTTTTACATTTTATTGTAATGCATAATATATATATACATCAATCATCACATCTATATCACCAACATGCATTATATATCACAAGCACACGATATTTAATAAATCCATCGAAAATCCATCACAAATGCACCAAAGTTCAACATCACAAGTTTATTATTACAAGTTCAACATCCCTATCATGGGCGACGGAGATCGCAGGTGTGGCCTCGACAAATGGGTGTGAAGGACCGGATCTGCGGCGAAGGGTTGACGCGATCACCGCCGGGTGACACGCTTAGCGGGATTGTTTGAACCCGCCGACGGAGGCTACAATAAAAGAGAAGAGATTGCATGTGTTAGACTCAAAATTGAAAATTTCGGCAAAGACTCTCCTCGCACGGGAGGTTTCCAACCCAAGAAGAAACAACGCACGAAGGTCGACAATCAACGCGCACGAAGGTCGACAATCCCAACGGCACGAAGTCGAAAAAATCACAACGCACGAAGGTCAAGGCCGACAATCCCAACGACACGAAGGTCGAAAATCACAACGGCACGAAGGCCGACAATTCCAACGGCATAACGCATTTAACTTTCATACTCACAGGAGTGAAGTGTCGAACCGAGATGGAGCCGGCAATCGCACTTGGACACCGATGCTTGCCCAATGGTTTGCATGATCCGATACATGTCCGCCATCCGCTTCTTCGTGGCCTCCGGCTCTCACGGTCAAAGCGCGCTATGTCTCCCTTGTCTCGCCGCCATTTCGGCCTACAAGTGTTTAAATCACATGTTTCAAAGATTGCAAATCTGATCAATGTGTGTAACGCTCAATGTACGACGAGTGAAACCAGAATTACCTGAAGTTCGTCGACCCACGACAGTGTTGGAGTTGGCCGTGCATGTATGGGAAGGCTTCTGGCCGTGCTCCGTGCCCTCACGTCGGAGAGAGAGGGTGCAGAGCTCGAGGAGTCGGCGCCGTCTGCAATCCACAACCGCCCGTGCTTCCTGCCTTGCCCCAGCCTCACGATCACCTCTCGTCTCAAAGGGCTCAATGCTCGGACAGATCTCGAGCACACGGAGCCTCTAACCGCCTCCGTGTAGTCTCTCGACCTTAGCGTTGACTCGGGTTAGAGTAAGTTGGGCAGTGGCATCCGGGTTGAAGACGACACCGGATTTCACCGGGCCCATGTGGGACACAGCCCATGCCCCAAACTCCGACACCGACACGTCCGGGTGTGCCACCTCATGCGAGAAAGATGGCAAGATGATTAGAAATCAGGCAAAATTGAGCGTTAGAATAGATAAATGACATCTCGTACAAGTGCCCGCTTGAATGCGGGGAGGTTGCGGCTGCCTTGGTGGTGAGTTGGAGCGGTCCTCAGTGCCCGCTTCCGCTTGCCTTGCTCGTGCTTTGCGATGTACGCCGGGTCAAGGTACCTATCCACGATCCTCGACCATGCCGATCTATGCGACATGCACCACGAGGCCGGCACCTACACATCATCAAGTGTTTGACATATAAGAAGATCTGTTCTGGACCTACTAAATCTCAAAACGAATCAATATTATTTACCTACCTGAAGGTACTGCTCCTTGGTCAGCGCCACCTTTCTTGCGCCGGTTTTGTTGAGGGGCTCTTTCTTGATGGACCTGTAGTAGTCGACGTGGGCCTGGAGTCGTGCCTCGTGAATCATGTCGCCGACGTACTTCTTACTGGCTCCGTGTGCCGTCTGATCCGCCAGGGTCTCTCTACCAAAGAAAGGGTATCATGTTCGTGCGGGGTAGGATCCCTTGATTGATGCCACTCTTGACGAACAAATTCCCTGTACCAAAGAGAATCAATGGGGTTCGATACAGAATAGTGACGTCGTATTGAAACAAGTTCGTTGAGAACTTACTTAATGAATGGCGCAACCTCGACAAGGTTGGTGAACACATATAGCGTGATTCTGCGCCACTCTTCTGGATCCAATCTCTTGGGGGTCGATTCAACTTCGCCAGCATTGTAATGAGGGGGTGGATTATGCTTGCTAGGAAGGTTCGGCTTGTAGTAGGATGTTGTGAAGTTTGCAACCTCCTCCCGAATGCTTGCCTCTGCAATGGAAGCCTCAATTCTGGCTTTATTTGTACATTTCTTGCGAAGAGTCTTTAGACATCGCTCGATTGGATAGCACCAACAGGCCTGCACGGCCCCCCCCCAACCGTGCCTCGGTCGGGAGGTGCACAATCAGATGCTGCATCGGCAAGAAGTCGGGTGGAAAGATCTTCTCAAGCTCACAGACCAACTCAGGTGCCATAGTTTCCAATTCTGTAATGACGGTCGAAGATAGCTCCTTGGCACAAAGCTGGCGAAAGAAGTAGCACAACTTTGCCAGCACTAGCCAGACATGCTCAGGGACATAGCCTCGAACCATCAACGGAAATATGCGCTCAATCCATATGTGGTAGTCATGACTCTTCATCCCGTTGACTCGCAGAGTCTCTAAGTTCACTCCCCTGCTCAGATTCGCTGCATACCCATCAGGGTACATTAAATTCTTGATCCATCAAAGTACTTGCCTCCTTTGATCGATTTTCAAGACATAGGGGGCCCTAGGCCTTCTCCACTGCTTTTCTGTTGCAGGAGGCCGCATCTCTAGGTTTGGCCTATCGCACAACGTCGCCAGGTCCACTCTAGCCTTAGGGTTGTCCTTACACTTGTCAGTGTCCATGAGCGTTGCCCAAAGTGCCTCGGTGATATTCTTTCCAGTGTGCATGACATCAATGTTATGGGGCAGTAGGAGGTCATCGAAATAGGGGAGCCTCGTCAAGCCAGACTTATGAGTCCACATATGTTGCTCACCATATCCCACGAAACCACCATCTTCGTTGGGCACGAGAGCATCTATCTGAGCACGAACCTCCACCCCAGTCCTCAAGTGCGGTCTAGGGTCCGTCACTTTGACACCTTTCGTAAAGCTCTTGACGTCTTCTCTGAATGGATGGTCAAGAGGGAGGAATTGACGATGTTTGTCGAACGACGAATATTTGCCACCCTTCTTCAACCATATGAACCTCACAGCTTCCTTGCATATTGGGCATGGGAACTTCCCCTGAACACACCCGGCGCACATTAACCCGTATGCCAGGAAGTCGTGCAGGGAGTAGTGGTACCAGATGTTCATTTTGAAGCTAGTCTTCATAGCTCGGTCGTATGTCCACACCCCTTTGACCCAAGCATCGATCAACACATCTATCACAGGCTCCATGAAGACACCCATATTACTCCCCGGGTGTCCAGGGATTATCAACGACAGGAACACGGTATGACGTTGAAAGGAGACGGGGGGGGGAGATTCAGGGGGATGACGAACACGGGCCCACATGTGTATGGTGCAGCCATCATGCCATATAGATTGAACCCATCTGTTGCCAGCGCGACACGTACATTATGAGCCTCCTCTGCTTTGAGAGGATGCCACAAATTGAAGTACTTCCATGCATCAGCATCGGATGGATGTACCATCTTCTCAGGATTGTATCGTGTGTC